ATTTGTTTAATCCACGAATGACACTGATGCTCCGAGGCTTTCATGTGTTGTAGTCAGTCTCTCGGTGTGTGTTGGATGTCTTGTCTGCCAGTGCAAGGTGGGTTTGTAATAGATGAAAAGGGAGAACAGCATAGCATGAAAAATGACCGTTCTATCTTTCTTCTTAAGATCAATGTATAGATGTCAAATTTTGTAATAATATCCACTTTGCTATATTCACGTATATTTGTCAAAAAGACTAATAACTAATAAATCGAAACGCAATGAAAACATCTGGATGCTGATTATTCCCTTAATTTGCTTCCAGCAGTCAGGGACCATGAACGATTTCTATGGATAAAAGCTAATCGGCCCTGTGGCTGAGATTCACCTTCTCGTCCGGATGGGGCTTTACTAATTTATGCTGAGACATGCGTGAGCCTCCCCGGAGCTCAGTGGAAGTGGTCTTTTTCAAAACCGGGAAAAAAGGCCAATCGAGTGAACATTTTTCTTTTTTATGTTCTCTGTCAGAGCTTGTGTAAATACGAAGCGTATTTGAGGCCAACGAGATATATACGTGTGTTAACCACTGGATGTTTGGTTAGGCCGCCAGACTTTAAAAAAATCACGTTCAGCTTCAATTTAGAAAAAGGTTTGAAGTCTCAAGAGAAAGTTCAGACATCTCACAACTATAGGATTTCATAAAAAAGCCAAGTTAATACAGCAAGGCTACAAGAAAAAAAGTCGGGCATCTTTCAAAATAAGTGCTTTCCAAATCCTGCTCTGCAAGAACAGGTGCATAAAAGAACGACCAGAAGTGGTTCTCAGTACCGGACAGCCGAGTACAGGAAGCTTTGTGTGCGTGTTCAGAGGGAAAAAAAAGTCTTCCTCAATGGGTCTTTTGTTGTTTGAGTTGGAGACAGCAAAAGCACGAGAGACATTGAGTGACAAATACCTGACCCCTCTGTGCCTCAAAGGTCTCACAGTCACACTGGATACAATGTCAACGAATGCCTCCTCTGCCCTCCATAGCAGCCCGCTCTCCGTACACAAGGTATTTTCTTTCATAATGGATAGTGTTTTCTGAGCAGACCTCCGGGTGTGCGGATCTGGACCCCGTTGCGCGACTGTTGAGTCTTCAGTGGTTGAAAACGGCCCCAAACTGTAACGCTTAACAAAAAGATGATGAACAGTCTGCTGTTTCAGTCACTTTCAGTCCAACACAGAATGATGTGATTTCTATTCAACTTGGTCGGGGGATCACGTGTGAAATCAATTGGGCATATCAGTTTTCCGGTGCATTACTTATGATCCACTCTTTGTTGTACTGCATGGCATCTTTAAACACTTTATCTGCTTAAAATGTTTGGCCACCACAGACATAACAACACTTCCTGTGGCCAGAAGTAGAATCTAAAGGCTGTTTTGAATTCAAAGGGACAGAAGGCGTTTGATTACAATTGAACCTTTTCCCCGTAGACTGTAGTTTAAAACAGAATTTTTAATTAAGGAATATTTTGTAGAACCCCCAGAGGAATTCAACAGCTTGCAAGACACTGCAGTTAAATTCAAGCATCGGACAGGGGTCAATTTATTTGCGTCTGTGCTCCGAAAAATACAATTATTTCCGTTTAAGGACTAACAAGACAGTTTCCTCTTCGACCCTCAGGCCTCAGATGAATACTTACAGTTTCTCTGGTTAATTATTTATGACCATGTAAGTTTTAAAGCTTGCTATCTGCAGACTGCCCCATTTTTTAAAACTCCCTTTGCTTTCAAGCTTTCAGCCTTTCTCAAACTCTACCACTGATTTTGAATCATTCTCTCCCAAATCAAGCCACATTTGTGTCTTATGGCTTTCTATTCCTATGTGAGTTGGTTTGGCATGTCATGTAGGGTCTAAAGCCATTAGATACTCAGTGGACAGTCACTGGAAGAAGTGGGTTTGAAAGATATTTTACTGTAGTTCTCTGCTAAATGCAAATGTCCCCACTCAAACAAGTAACTTAACAAAATAATCAAGACGATGATGTAAAAAGTAATATTTCTTTAAATTAAAGTTTAGATTATTTCTTTAGCAGCTATTTCTGGCACCTACTATGCAATGACATTAATAGAATCTGTAGTCAACATCTTTCCTGACATCAAACCTTTGCAGATATCATAGTCTATACACAGGTATTTCCTGCAGGTGTGTCTGGACATCTTGCTGTATTTGACGTAGCCGATGTTCAAGGAAATTAAACGGTTTATTTCTTGTTCAATAAACAGCTTCGAGCTCTCCACTATTGGAACGTTACTTTGGAGGTCTCAGCTCTGTGCATTTAGAGGAAATCATTATCCAACGGCACAGCCTGTTTTTGTTGTTTATTCAAGATGATGTCAGCAATAACATCATAGCATGTGAACATAGGAATTTTATGAATTAGCTGTGATAATATAGGGGACAACATATTCCGAGGAAAAAATGTTTTTTTACCTTAAACTATGAGAAAAGATTCAGGCAATTGTCATTGCCTCCAACTTTTTAAACCAACTTCCAACATCTAATTTCCAGGTTATTCATTATTGAACCATCATAAGTTCAAATTCACATTCAAAATATTTTTATTCATCTTGTTTATTTTGTTCTCATTTCTGATGTAGGCTAGAAGATCAAACCCTGCGAAACGAAACCTTACACTTTGAGCTGCATCCTCACAGGGACTTGGTGTGCATCTTAACCAGCTGGGCCCCCAGAGCTATTTCATAAATCCCTACAAATGTTGCCTGTCAAGGGTCCTACTCCCACCCTACAGATATTTCAAAATGATTCCAGGAGATTCAGGCTTTTGACTGCAATAACTCAGAATATCTCTTGCCTTTGAACTTGGAAGCAAAGCGAACGCGAGTAAATCAGAACCACTTTGAATTGAGACTTTAGCAGTTTCCGTTCACAGTTTTCTGAGCCTTCAATACACAATGTATGACTTTCAATCTACCGTTGAATTTGCCTCCTTTGCTGTGGTATGTTCAATACTGTTTCAAACAACAAGAGTGATGGTTAACATTCATTGTTACCCAACAAAAGCCACAATAGAAACAACGGTAACACGCTGCAGTATATCCTGGCATGTCAGGTGCTATTTCTACGACATTGGTGTAAATCTCAAAAACTGTAGCTGCGCCAAAATTGTGCAAATACCGGTTCTTGCATGACATTACTTGACGTTGAAAAATGTATCAAAAAGAGTTTCAAATTCCAGGTTGGCCGATTATATGATTATAGTTTGTTTTTTGTCCACTCATTCCTCTGGAGGAGTCTTCTCCCGATACATTTTGCTTCAATGGTCTTGTATTTTTGCTTAAACAAAACAGAAAGGCTCTATGAAACGATACAGGTAACCCTCTGTGATGTCATATAGTCATATAGTCTTACAACATTGGAAATTATAATACACTGGCCCATAACAAAACAAATAAAAGGTCAGTTAGTGACCTCCATTATGTATTATGATTACATTATAAGTATTATGATAGTAATTATGAAAGGCTTTATAAGGTCTGTCAGTGATTATGAACATTTGAGTGCTTATGTAGCGGTTGTACTCTTTCTTGCGTTGTGTTGAAATCACCACCAGGACACGGACCACATTCGGCTCGGATCGGCCGTTTATTTTGTGACGTTAAGACACCTGGCGAACACACAGAAGTTAACGTCCTCAGAAGGAACCTCGTGGCATCATAACGCTTGCACACCCTGCAGCAGACTAACTTTTTAGCTACGAATATGACATACCTGGCGAACACACAGAAGTTAACGTCCTCAGAAGGAACCTCGTGGCATCATAACTGCCAAACAGAATGAAACACATGAGCTAGTTGAATTTAGCATTAGCCTTTTCAAGGGGACTTTCTACAGCCAACTTACCGGTTACACAACCTGCAGCAGACTAACTTTTTAGCTACAGGGTGTCGCACCCACGTCCGCAGGGACCCACTAGAGGGCACCCACGTGACATCCTGTCATGACTCTTAGCGATGGCAAGTGGAATCAAACACCCGTTACACTTACAACTATAATTTGTACTATAGAGGCAGTGATGTTTAGAAATTAGAATTTACATTTTACATACAATTTTTTCAACAAATTCATGAATTGATTTTGATTGATGGATCAATCTCATTGAGTTTCACCATAAGAAAAAACACCACTTTAAGTTTTGTGTTTCCCAGATATGTGCTTATAGTTTTTTTCTGAAATAAATAATTCAGGTAAAAAACATTTACGAAAACAACAAAATACTATTTTATGTTAACAAATCTCACTCGACTACGACCAAAGCGACCCTTAGTCAAATAATCTACCAAAGGGAAGCACCAGTTCCTGGTCCAACAGGCAGGTGGACTGAGTTGTATATTGACTTCTGATGATTTGAAGTAGATGATCAAGTAGCTTTTAGCACAAGGTGTTATGTTGGGTGGGAAGTCCTCAATAGAACAATTCTGCATCTTCTGCTTAACAGACAATCACCTGACAAAGAGATTTTTCTTTTCTTTATAAAATATGTCAACAGATGTTAGGAAGGGAACCACTCGCCGCTTCCACGTGGATGCCCATCGTCCCGGTAGAAAGGCCGCACGCACCAGACCAGCACCAACCAAAGCCTGGGTCACACCTGGAGGTCAAAGGTACACTTCTCATTTCCGGTTTTCACTGACCATACAAACTTTTCCCAACAGCGACATTCCATCAATACTTGTCGACCTGTCAGAGGTGCAAAACCCCAGATGTAAATAATAAGATGCATTTTAATGAATTAAATCGTTACTGTGACAGGTAAATAACATCGATTTATTTAACACCCAATGTTAGCATTTATAAACAATATGATATTGGAATAAACAAATAAATGGCGCGTTCACTCGGGACCCGGAATTGTCAATCAGGCGGTCGGTGGCAGCTGTTCATCCGGTGAGGTCCTCAGGCGCGTGGCCGAGAAGGTTCCTTGGAGTAACCGTTCATCGGCCTCGCAGCAGGGGGTTTCTTTTGAGTGTGTGTTAGTGTGCGCCGCAGAAGTTGAACCAACTTTCCTTTGGGTTTCCGCGTCGTACTGCGTGGGCATGTCGCTGTTTTCGGAGAACCCGGCTCACTTCTCCAAATCGAGGCTGAAGTCGGATCTCGTTGCGCACAATGTGGCGCTGCCGCCCGCCAAGAGCAGAAAGCACGTTTACGTGGAGCTGCACTTAAAACACATCCAGCGTAAAAACGCTGCGGAATTCTCCAGCGACGAGGAGGATCAAGTACAGAACGCGGAAGTGAGTGCAGTGGTGAGTGGTGTTTTTGCGGCAGGATACTTTTAAATATATTTGTTTTTTGTTTTAATGGATACGTTTTGCAATCCCAGCTTTCTGCCACTTCGCCTGATGATGGTGCTGTTCTATCCGTGTACTTTTCGGTTGCAACCCTTGTAAACAACGCGCCTGTTTAAAAAATTTTTTTTAAGTGGAGTCGCTGTGCGCAGTAATAAAGGGAATGAACTGGAATCCCAGCTATGCTGCGCAGTGCGCATGCTCCGCAGCGGTTGCGGGAATGTGGATCTGAGGATCCGGGGATCTGGGTCACGGCTTCCAAACGGGCCTCTCGGCTTGCTGCAGCATTCGAGCCAACAGCTGTGTAGTCGGTCTACTGTACAGTTGGTGACGGTTCACACGAGACGGTTCTGCAGCTTTGGCTCGTGCCGTTGCAGTTCCGGTGCATGCGCTCGCCACACCTGTCACTGTCGTTAATGTGTACACTTAAAGTCTGGAGGTCGTTTCTGTGCTGTGTCTCGGGTTTAGGAAGACAAGTCTGTTCGTCCAGGCTGTGCACAGTCTACTCTTTAATCAACTGCACTGCAAAGGAAAGTTTTTCATTTAGAATCGACTGCAGGATTTCCACCATTTCAACTTGTTTTTTATTCAAGTCAGCCATTCGTTGTGTTTTTTTTGCTGGTGACAGTTTTTACAATCCAATAATTTGCAGCTTTTTTCAGTTTGATGTAAAAGTCAGAAGCTAAATACGTTTGAGCAGTCTTATAAATGGAATCTTCCCTCATCCGAGCTGCAGTCTTCTTTGTGTCTTGAACAGCATTCAATTAAATTCATGTTTTGCTCGGACAAGGAGGAGAGCGAGCGGATGCCCGACCTGAGTGGATTGACTGATGATGACCTCAAGGCCGCACTGCTCCGGCACGGGGTCGAAGCTGGTCCCATAGTAGGTAAGCATCACGGTCTCTTTGTACAAATGGGGACGTTCCTCTACACTATTTGTGAGCCTATATTTAAGGTCTGTTTTGCCCCCCTCCCACTGTCCTAAGAAATATTTTTTTTTTGTCTTTGCTAGCCTCCACCAGAGGCGTGTATGAGAACAAGCTCAGGAAACTGCTTCAGTCTGATGGCCAAGGTGTTGTGAACGGAGCGGAGCAAGGTGTGTTGTACTCGGACAGTGAAGATGAGGCTGAAACTCTGGAACAAGATGTCGAAGAGTCCGGTATGACTAGTTGTGATTTTTTGTTTTTGTTGTTATTATTGGCAAATATTGTCACTGCTTTTTTCTTTACACTGAAAAAGAAAGAAGATACAAATCTATTTACATTAATGATCAACTTAGTATGTTGCTTTACATTAATAACAACGTAATTTGCATGCATCTATGAATAAAACGGAGGCAAAGTTTATCAAAGTTCTTGACAGCAACACACCCAATAAAAAAGATGCTCAGAGAAATGTTGTTTTTCTTCAGTAAATGGAAGTTTGGTCTGACGTCTAAGAGCCCCAGCTGCCTTTCCATGATTAATAAGCCATTCAATAATCTAACGTGGTGACTACTTTAGTGTCGATGAAGGCATTGCTTTTGCATACAGTCCTCTGCCGTTTCTTGTGGTCATGGCCTTGTTTTCTGTGACTTTCACAGGTTCCAAAAAGGAAGACCGGGCACAACAAGGGAGCAGCGAGGTGAGACTATTGTAATTCAGGATCTCTTTGGATTAATGATTAATAACTCCTGTGTTAATGACTGGCACCACTTGATTTGTGTGAATTTGGGGCGCTTCCACTATTTGCTCTTCAGCTGTTCAATAGATTTTCTTGAGTTTTTGCATCACAAGCTTTTGATGATCCAATCCTTCCCTGCAGTGCCACTTGGTGGTTACCGGCGGCAACTGTAAACATGTATTCTGCCTGGAGCTGTTCCTTTTTGTGGAGTGAGCACTCTTGTTGCTGTTGTGTTTTCAGACTGGTGATTTTGTTTACCCGCAGTGCTTTTTACCCCAATCAAGGCTGGTAAATACTACATATCTTTTGCACAAAATTCTGTCTTAACTGAATTCTCAGAGGGGCACTGATGTATATTTTTCCATGTTTGATTGGGTCGGCCTTTTGTAGTACACTTGTGCTTCTAGAAACGGGGAAATAAGTCCCAAGTGGAATTCAGGGAATGCGATAAAATCGCTGGAACGAAGTCGGCCTAGCTCACAGATTTCTGAAGGAATTAGCAGAGCCCCCTCTGTAGATCGACGCTCTGGATTAGGATCAGGGGTAGGCTGGTCTCATTTCACTCCTTACTCCTTTCATTCCTCTTTTTAGACTTCTCAAGCCACCAATGGGATGTGTGTTTGTTTCACAGTAACGGGTGATGGTGTCAAGATGGTGTGATGCATGTTTGTGTTGATATGATAATACTCATTTTTGCAGTTTGCATCTGGATCAGTTATGCTCATTGGTGACTCGACAATTTCCTCTCAGGCCTTCAGCATCACGCAAATGGTCGAGGAGGAAAGTTAATCATGCATTTTTTTTTTTTTTTAAACCACAGCTTCTGAACTTTGATAAATGACCCTGTCCTCTGTATTTTAAAGGTCGCCGCCGGCGTGTTCAGTCATGTGTCATTCATTTGTAACAACAGATGGAGAGTTCGAGGTCACACTCCGCGGACTTGCACACTGAGAGGGATGTGAATGGGTGCAATGTGCAGCAGCATTGGTCGCGCATCAACGGGGTCAGTAGTGCGCACATTATGCAGTCACACACGTGGTGGCCACAATGTTCACTGGAAACGGGAGGAAATTCATACTGTAGAAATCTGTTGTCTTTTGTTTTCTTAGCTGGACGTTGAAACGCCTAAAGTGGGCAACATGAAGAACCAGCCCCTGTTCTACACTCCCAAGGAATCCACATACGAGTCGGATATCGAGGCATATACATCATACATTTTCTCACGTGCATTTGACTTTGTCAGATCTTATGATTACATCACAGTTCATCCTTTTTCTTTAGTGCCACTTGACTTGCTGGGCCTTCCTATTTTTGTCTTTTCCACTGATCCACTTTGAAATGAGTTTTTGCTCTTGTTTCATGAATTTGTCAGGTGCCTGTGAAAGACACTTTCAGTCTTTCCAACACTACTGCCACACCCACAGGGATCTAGTAAGTGACACACACACACACACACCATTGCAGTGTGACACCATTTTTGAAGTTGGTTAACGACAATCAGCCTCATTCACCAAATGTTCTTAAGAACAAATTTGTGCTTAATCTCCACTAGCGCAGTTTTCACGACGGTTCTGGCATTCACCAATATTTTCTTTGTTGCATTTGGAATTTACGCACACCCAAGAGCACTCTTACACACAATTGAGAACTGACATGTTTGCGCAAAATAAGTAGTTATACCGTTTTCGTCCGTTCTGATTTAAAATGGAATATTTCTCCTTTTCGTCCGTTCTGATTTAAAATGGAATATTTCTCCTTTTTATAATTTTGCAACTAGTTTTTATTTTACACCTAATTACGTCTGTTTTAACAAATACACACCACACGTATACTTCTGCTCATTTGTAAAGCACTTTGAATTGCCATGGTGTATGAAGTGTGTTAGGCCTATACAAATTAATGTTGCATTTTAGCACTGTTGTGATCGTTTTATCACCACACATACTGTGTTGTATTTCAGTGCCACTCGTCGGAGACCCATCAAGGGTGCCGCGGGGAGACCTGTCCAGAACGCGTACCCGGACACGCCCGCCAGTCCCACGACCAAGGAGAGGCGAGAGGTCGAGCGGCGCCTCGTGCCAATCCAGATTCAGATTTTGGTCTTCCTCCTCGTGGTGTGCCTCTTGTACCTCATTTATGTTTGTGTTGAGGATGATTCATTCAGTACGTTTGCGACCCTGCTGGACAGTCTTGACCAGGGCGCAGACGGTCACGAGGGGCTGGCGCTTCAGGCCGAGGACCGGGACACTCCCGCACTCTCTGTGCGGGAGTGACCCGGGATTCTTCAGTCAGCACTTTGACGTAAGGCTGCGAGGGTCGCATTTATTTGTGATGTGAGCCATAATGACCCTATCCTGGGAAATCCTTAAGGGAGTAAAACTCCAGTTTTAGATGGTATTCTCGTCGGTGTGATCAAAGTGCTTTTGTTAGTATTGTTGAGAAGTTTTATTAAACACAGAAATTAAACTTTAAAAGATGTTATCTAATGTTTAAATGACAATTCTACATTTCCTAATCCAAAGTGTGTCCGGATGCCTATTCGAACTCTACTTGTGTAATGTCCATATGTAATTTTAAAAGTATGTTTTAACCATATTTGAATAAAGAATGCATTGCTTTATCCTTTGGTTTGTGCAATTAATTATACGAATTAAACTGAGAATGCACGCAGCTACACAAATCCGCGGGGATCTTTCGCGTCGTATATTTCACCTTAAATAAATACCGAAGGCGTCGTGTCTGCTGGCGCCAGCAGGGGGCTCTTTCTCCAACGAGCCCATTCACTGCGCACACGCGCTCCGTGCGGCACGATGACAGACTCGGGGCCAAAGTTCAAAACATTCAAACTCTTAAAGCTTATTCTGAGTGGGGTCCTCGTCACGGTCTCGCTGTTATTCGCCATCGCGTCTATCCGGACGCTGTCGCTGGACGTAAATGTCGGACTTCAGCTCGCGCGCTGGGAAAAGACGAACAACATCTCGCTCGTCGTGAGCCAGCAGCAGCGCGAGGAGCTGCTCGACAATTTTAAAGGTAAATTATTTTTGTTGTTTGCCTGCCTGCCTCGGGGAAGTTGAATTGCTTGTTGGACCGTAGCTGGAAGGAAGCGCCTGCGCCCCCCCACCTCCCCCGGTGGGCGACGTTTATCCGGGTTAATTATCTCTGTCTGTCCGTCCAGAGGCGATCCGGATCCCCACGGTGTCGTTTTCAAAAGACGAGAGCAACACCACCGCGCTGCGAGAATTTGACCGGTTCCTCCGAAAAGGTACAGTTGAATTAAAACGTAGATGTGATGGCTGTGTGTTCTCTCTCAGGTGACGTTGCGTAGCTTATCTTGAAACCAATGACCCGACGTCCATTGAGCGCAACGTCGAGCTGCCACAAGTTAAGCTAACCTATGTTAGCTCCGTTAAGCTAACTTAACGTTCAACTAACTTACAACGTGACATCTGAAAATAAATGTAAAGTTATGTTAGTTTAACAGTCCCCCTGCCAATAGCTTCACCCTCGTAGGTTAATCAATATGATGACGTCACACAATACTTCTGTTAACTTTAATTAACCGTTATTTAAGGACTGTTTCCTGTCATTTTCAATCAATCATGTTTCGCTCTAAATTAACGTTACAGGTGCCGGCAGCCTGCCGTATTTTCAGTGACATTTAAGTGTTTTGTCATTAAACTTGAATTGTTTTCTTGAAGTTAAAATTGGTCGAAATCTATTCAGTTTAATACTTTGAACAAAGCAATACACACAGTATTTCACACAAGGAAAAAAAGCAGAGACATTAAATGTTTTGCTCGGTTTCTTGAGAAATTAATAAAAAAACTTGTTTTTGTTTAAGTACACAGAGGCATGGTTTCAACTTATTTCTGCTTATTGTATTCTAGTTTCACATGTAACAAATGGTTACTAAGAGTAATTGAAAGCGTTAGTCTAGGAATGTTGTATTTGTTACTTTTATTTTTTAGCAGATAAAGATATCAACGCAGCATCTGTAGCTTTAATGTTATCAGGACTGCCGGTCCGTTGTATGCGTTGAGCTCCAAAGACTCTGGACCCTACTTTTTCTTTATTAGTGTTTTGGCCGTCATGCCACACTGGCCTCATCACATCCTTGGGGTCATCTTTGCAGAGTCGTAGATTTGTATGTTAACTCGTACACCTGTTTTCATAGGCCGGTTATAAACATGGTTTCTACCCCTTTTTTAAGCTTGTACTCTTCTTCCTGTGTCAGCTTTCCCGACAGTTTTTTCTTCAGACTTGGTTCGTCATGAATTGGTGGCAAACTACAGCCATCTGTTCTGGGTGCGAGGATCACAGCCGGACCTGGTGCCGTACCTGCTGCTGGCCCACATCGACGTAGTACCTGCCTCGGAATCGGATGGCTGGGATGCCCCACCGTTTTCTGCAGAGGAGATCGATGGATTCATCTATGGGAGAGGGACCATAGATGACAAGGGCTCTCTAGTGGTGAGAGAACGTGTAATATTTTGCACGACCGTGCTGTTGGGCCAACAAGACTAATACAAAATGATTAATTTCTTCCAGGGAATTCTTCAGGCACTGGAGTACTTACTGATGAAAGGCTATGCTCCACGCAGAGGATTTTATATTAGTCTAGGTCACGATGAAGAAGTACTTGGTCAAACTTTTACTCTTTGAAATTGTGAAGTTGGATAAGATTCAAACTCTTATCAATGTATATGTCCTTTTCTTCTTTATTCAAAGGTCAGTGGTACAAAGGGGGCAATGAACATAGTACGTGTTCTGAAGCAGCGTGGCGTGCGGCTTTTGTTTGTCCTGGACGAGGGCCTGGCTGTTCTTGATGGAGTCATCAGTGGCCTCGAAGGACCTGCTGCACTGTGAGAGCCTTTTATACTCTTGTAGAAACATGATATTTAGTCTGCCCGTTTTACATGTTAAAAACAAACAACGGTACCAAGCCTGACATCGTAACAAACTCACAAAGCATTGCATGAAATGACGTGTCTCTCCATTCAATTGTATTAAAAATGATGTTTGTTGATTTTGCAGTTGTAATTTTGGTTTTCTTGTTGTTTTTGTGTTCTGCTGGTTTTGTAGAATTGGGTTAAGTGAAAAAGGTTGGGCGACTGTAAAGCTTAGCGTGTTTATGGCCCCTGGTCATTCCTCCATGCCTCCCAGTGAGACCAGCATTGGGATCTTGGCGGCAGCGGTCAAACGGTAAGAGGTATAATTATATATATTTTTTAAACTGTTTTCATTCATTTTATGAATTGTTGTTTTTGCAGAACTACATTTTTTTGCACTCTTCAAACAAATAGCTATATCTAATATTTGTATTGTGTTGTGCTATTGCCTCAGACTAGAGGACAACCCTATGCCAAGATTATTTGGTCATGGGCCTGAAAAGGGAACATTTGAGCATTTGGCGCACAAGGTAAGACGAGCCAGCTACTTTTTTTATCACTTAATAGCATGTTAAATTATTTCTGTAGTAACGCAGTTATTCATTCTTTTTTTCAGTTTGGACTCCCAATGAAGTTCATAATGTCAAATTTGTGGCTATTTGCCCCACTCTTAGGCAGGTAATTACACCCTAAAATGAATTTGGCGAATTTCCTTCCGATTTGAGTCTTTGAATAAATCATTTAGCTGGTTTTATATTCCAGGGTACTTGAAAGAAAACCAGAAACAAATGCTTTTGTAAGGACAACTACTGCAGTCACCATGTTTAATGCAGGAGTTAAGGTACAGTTATTCAATCTGAATTAGATGGCAAGCCTTTCAGTTTTCCTCAGCACCAACCTAAATTCTCTCCCACCATGTAGGTGAACATCATGCCATCCCTCGCTGAAGCTTATGTAAATCTGCGAATCCATTCAGCACAGTCTCTACAAGAGGTAGTCAGTAGTTTGTGTCTCCTTCTTTGAGATTTTTGTTATGTCTCTTCATGAATATTATTAGAGTTAGATGTCTGTTGTCACGTCCAGGTCCTGGACCTGGTGCAGTCCACCGTGGGGGACCAACGAGTGAAGGTAGAGCTTATCGATGGATTTGACCCCTTGCCTGTGAGCTCCATGGATGACAAGTCCTTTGGCTTCCAGATCATTAAGAAAACTGTGTTGGAAATGTTTCCAACAGTCACAGTTGCTCCAGGTAGAATCAAGCCGAACGTAAATGTATAAAAATGTTGTTGGTAAGCTCCAAATATTCAATAACTCTTTTCTAATCTTTTTATGTTCAGGTATCTGTATTGGGAACACGGACAGTCGACACTTTAAAGACCTGACGGATGATATTTATCGCTTCGCCCCTGTCTGGTTTAAACCGGGCGATGCTCAAAGGTGATGATCGTTTTTGTCTAATACTACATACAAACAGCTTAATAAAGGCTACTGCAGTCAGTCTATTAAACCAGGAGGGAAAAGGGCGTTTTGTGGTCAACACTATTATCTCACAGACTCGTACTGTTTTATAATTATGGTTGAACAACTATTACCTTTTTTATAAGTTGAACGTATGGAACCAATCCTAAGACAGTTTGCCATTCAGCTTTAATTATTAAAAATCTATGTGTGCTACACGAAGAGCACAAGACAACTTATAAAGGAAACATAATTTCTCCGCTATAATTTTTCTTTCTTTTTCTTAGATTCCATGGCATCAATGAACGGATTTCCAAAAAGAACTATGAAGAGCTGCTAGTATTTTACTTTAGTCTGATTCAAAACTGTGACATTCTGAAGCTCCCTGAGCCTCACAGCACTATCCATGAACTCTGAGGAATAGACAATATGGGTAAAATGCAATCCAAAAGAGTTCATGATAATGTGATTAATGTCAACAGCACTAAACTCTTGACTTACTGAATTGATGTAATTCTGTATTCTAGAGCCAGACAGTTTTCCATGGCTTTACATTTAATGGTATTTTTAATCTTGTTTGATGACATGCATTTACCTTGCTCTGATGAATGGTGCTCTCCATTTGTGATAGCGATTTTGTGATAATGTGATTATTTTTCTAATATTTAGAAATAGGATATTTGATTTTTCTTAAGCTGTTAGCCATAATCAGCAATATTAAAAGAATAAAAGGCTTGCAATATTTCAGTTGATTTGTAATCAATCCAGAATGCATGACCTTTTTGTTTTTTTAATTGCATTACAGAAAATAAAGAACTTTATCACAATATTCTAATTTTCTGAGACAGTCCTGTAGACTAGCTTTGTTGACATAGGCCAGCTAGCTAAAGCTCTGGTGGAAAATGATTAGCTAACGCTACCGTTTTTGAGGAGGTAGATTTTGAGGTGAGGGGACCGACGAGGCAGAAGGTAAAGTGGTCCACCGTTCTATCAATAAGCAGACCTGCCAACCTGATACGCATTTTGACTTCAAAGTACGCTGGTACGATTTGTCACTCTAAACTACGCAAAAATTTGTCTAAAATTAATTTTAGACTAGTTGACCAGCACACATTATATGCAATGCAATATAATGCATGACGAGTATTTAATGACTTGTACTATATTAGTTGTTGTCAATTTCCCCCCCGTCGGTGCAAAAAATGATCCCTGGGACAAAACCAGTTGAAAACTCCTGCCCTAGAGGGGTAATATCCTTCTCACCTTTTCCACCCTTGATCCATTTTCATGCCTGAAAGTAATATTGAAACATGCTCATTTCAGGCCATTTAAAACCATTTCAATCATTTTAGGGGACTCGTATGTGGGGGACTACTTTTGGACATAAGTAATGTTTTAGACCTAAACGCTGTTGTTTCCCGACCTGGACCTGTAACTGGTAAGTCATTCAGAAATGTAGAATTTTTATAGAGGGCTTCTACTTAAACCCGCACAGCTTTTCTACCCTTCACACCAACCACTTACATGTATTGTAAATAATCTCATGTGATGCTACTTGCCCAATCGAATGTGTATTCTGGTAAGCGTTGCCTATGACTCCAGTAAGATATTCACACGTGGAAGAGACAGAGAGAGACGCAAAAGTCAAAGGTGTAGAGTCTGAGGTTGATTCACATGGCGTTCCTTCAAAAGAAAAATGTGGACAGCAAGACAACACTCAATAACCTAGACAGAACCAGTCAAAAGCTTGGAGATCGCTTTAAATGAAAATGAGTCACATCAATGTTGAAGGTAAAGCCTTAAATGATCCTTGACAGCATTGATAAAGAAAACAAAACAAGAAAGGTAAAAAGCCCCTTTGGGGAAATTAAGTTGTTCTTGATCTCAAGAAAAAGTGTGAGCAGGTTGTCAGTGAAGAAAGAGGAAATTTCAAGTTCAAAATGTCCACAAGGAGCGACCAAATGACACCAGCAAAAAAAAATCATAGGCTAGCCCACTCTTTTTTTATCTCTAAAATCATTAAATACAATATTAACGATGAACGAAGTGCTCATTTTGTACGATTGATCAAATTCTCAACCAAACCCAAATCAAGATCCTGCTGGAGGAAGAATTCAACACAAAATTATTGACAGAGTAGTACTAAAAAGTGTCCATGAAACTTAAACATTTTATTTGCTTTTACATTTAGTAACATGTATTGTATTTAACTATGCAACATCTGTTTCATCATGGAGGACAAATCTTATTATATATTCTCACATATAGTAAAGTAAGTATGCAACAACCACATGCGTGTATTTATGTGAAAGCTGTTTAAATTATGGCAGTGGGAAAAAAAGATACACACCAGACTGATTTAGATACACCTTGAATTATAAGCCAACGATTGTAAATATACTGCCAGATGTTTTGACTGTATTTCTAGGTACAGACACTGAACGCTGAATTAAAGGTCAAACCCGCTGGGCACGACTGGATGTAAAATCTTCCTTGAATGCCACATTGGATAAATCGTGTTGGGTCAGGATGAGGAAAGAAGCGGCCTGCATTTCCATTACAAAGGTCTGCAAACGATGTAGTAGATGGAACTGGGGCGGCGGTGGTGGTGGTAGTCGGTCTGATTGTAGTTGTCGTAGTGGGAGTTGTTGGTGTTGTTGTGGTAGTGGGCCTGATTGTAGTTGTCGTAGTGGGAGTTGTTGGTGTTGTTGTGGTAGTGGGCCTGATTGTAGTTGTCGTAGTGGGAGTTGTTGGTGTTGTAGTGGGAGTTGTGCTAGTGGCCTGATTGTAGTTGTCGTAGTGGGAGTTGTTGGTGTTGTAGTGGTAGTGGGCCTGATTGTAGTTGTCGTAGTGGGAGTTGTTGGTGTTGTAGTGGGAGTTGTGCTAGTGGGCCTGATTGTAGTTGTCGTAGTGGGAGTTGTTGGTGTTGTTGTGGTAGTGGGCCTGATTGTAGTTGTCGTAGTGGGAGTTGTTGGTGTTGTAGTGGGAGTTGTGCTAGTGGGCCTGATTGTAGTTGTCGTAGTGGGAGTTGTTGGTGTTGTTGTGGTAGTGGGCCTGATTGTAGTTGTCGTAGTGGGAGTTGTGGGTGTTGTAGGAGTAGTTGGTAGTAGTGGGCCTAATCGTAGTTGTCGTAGTGGTAGTGGTGGTGTTGTAGTGGTAGTTGTAGTAGTGGCCTGATTGTAGTTGTCGTAGTGGGAGTTGTTGGGTGTTGTAGTGGGAGTTGTGGTAGTCGGCCTGATAGTAGTTGTCGTAGTGGGAGTTGTTGGTGTTGTAGTGGGAGTTGTGGTAGTGGGCCTGATTGTAGTTGTGGTAGTCATGGGAGTTGTAGTGGGCCTGATTATTGTTGTGGTAGTAGGAGTTGTTGTTGTGGAGGTAGGGAGCATGGTTATGGTTGTTGTAGGGGGGGTTGTGATAGTGGGCGTTGTTGTGTTTGTTGTAGGGCGAGGTGTACTGCTGAGGTCAGGAAAACCTAAAAGAATGAGAGTCAGATACTGTGTTACATGCTTTTTACACGTGTTTGATCATGTGATAATATTATCATGATGCTGAGCATGGCTACAATTCCTCCTTCATGAGGTATCTAATTACTGAATGCTGATGGCATTCAATCAAATACACACTATATTGCCCATGGCATCGCTGTTTTGAGGCCATTGGAATATATATTGCAGTTATGCTACAGGGGATGTGAACATTAAACATGGTCTTTATGAAAATCTGTGATGGGAAGTTCGCCATCAATACTTTCTATTCGGCAATCACGGAAAATGCTTCATTGTGAACGACACATCCATTGAATTTTTCAACGGAACTCTTGTGTTGCCGGCTGCTAAATAGAAGCTAAAAGCACACATGACATGTGGAACTACTAATTTATTAAATTTATTTCTGATTAATCATGGTGAATGGCTTTTCTACAGACAAATCAGGGTCTTTCCAAAGCACAGTTCTGCTTATTAACTACAGCAACAGCAACTACAAACATTTTCTATTTTCTTAACTAATCTTGTAAACTGTAGTTATTGGCCAGAAACTTTATTAGTACGGATGTTTGAAAGAGAAGATCCCACATCCGTATATATTACATTTAAGAGATTTAATTATTATTTTTAACTTCATAAAGCTAGATCTAGGCAGCTCATAATAATTTAATACCCACATATTTCTCAAAACCAATATAATAATTTATTTCCTTTGTTTTCTCTCGTAAATGACCACTGTGATGATATTGATAATTAAGTATTGTTTATACTCTTATAAGCATATTTTTTTCTATTTCGTAAAGTAAGTTGGGGTTTTAATAAGGTTACATTTTGTATATTGGACAAGTAACTTTGGCAATTGAAATTCCTAGGCATAGTTGCTGAAAAAGCCTAACATCAAGTCCTGATAGGATTCGATGTAAATGTTTTAGATTACCTGGAACCAGGAGGTTATGCAGGTGGCCGATGAAAGGGTTTTCCCCCATTTTACAGTATGTTCCAGTTTTGTCATCCAGATCCACAGACCAGACAAAGGCTCCTCCAAAGTTGTTGCTCTTTAGGTAATTGACCTGAGAGGATGAGAAACAACACATTTCAACAGCGGACGTCATTTCGACAACATTTTTATTTCACTAAATTTGAAAAAGAAATTATTGAATACCTTTGTAGTAAGGCTGGTTTTGTCATCGAAACCAACCCACTGATGTTCTGGGACAGCAAAAGGGACTTGCTGGTCAGCGATCAGCTGGGAAGGAACCCCTTCAGTATAAAGGCAGATCTGAGAAGGAAGCATCAAATATCAAATTGATTCATTCAGACAGAAATTACTCACACCAAATAGAATAATTGGTTAGTATATAATAAAGCCGTTTAATTTTATCAATAATATTCACATCATTCATATTCACTACTTGCTTTTTTACCTCATAAGTGGACCAGAATCCTTCTTCCCCGGTGAAGCAGCCTTCTTCACCAGGGCCGCTTGCTGGTGCACCTACATCCATGGATTCAGTGGAGAGGTCAAAAGCACGGCCATATGCCGCCAACCCCAAGTTGAGCTTGTCTGTAGGTGCTCCCTGGTCTCGCCAGTACCTCATGGAAAAGTTCTACAATGGTGAGAGAGCTTAACAGTCAGGCTGAAAGGACATCTTTAAGTAGGAAGGTGTTTAGTTGAAATATAACTCGCCGTACTTACAGTGTTCAAGTAGGTTTGGTTTCCAGTCTCTTGGGCTCTTTGGAATAAGGGGCTGTGATGTCCCGTGACGCTTTCCCAGGGGCCGTGAAAGTCAAATGTCAACACATTGATGAAATCCAGATACCTGTTAAAGTGCCAGACCTCGTTAACCAAAACATGACAACAGCTCACTATCATTTCAAGTATTTATTTAAATTAGCTTACGTGGAAACCTGCGGGACGTCATAACTGTCATCGATGATTGCTTTCTCGGCAGAGACGCTCGCAGTGAGGAGTAATCTGTCACGGCCAGTTCTTGTTCCTTCAGCCACAAAGGCCTCGTTGAGCTCCTGTTAAACGAAGAAAAGAAACACGGTTCAGTGTCTTTACAACATAGTGTTATATTTTTTTAAATAGCTTTATTCTGTACGGTGCATTTCAGACAGAAGATAAATTCAGGATCTGACCTTGCACAGCAATGTGAAGCTCTGTTTGCCCCCTGGTTGGCTTCCAGCTCCTCCCGGGTACCTCCAGTCCAGGTTTAGCCCATCAAACCCATTGCTTCTTAGCAGCGTGATCGCAGACTGGATGAACGTTGCTCTGTTTTGTTGGCTTGCCCCCATTGAACTGAATCTGGTAAGCATTCAAAGCAATACAACCTTTGAAAATGTAGGTGATGCAATGGGGATATTTAAGTGTTAATTATATGTCTCTGTTGAAATAAATACTGATTTCTGATTACATTTATGCTCTGTGGGGCTTGATAATGACGATCATTTTTGGTTATAACGGCTGTCCTTTTAAGGGGATGATTTGGACCCAATCAGTTTGCATCAATATGTGTATTTATGTACTATTTATTTGAAGATTACTTTCAAGCAACCTTCTTTCAATAATGAAGACATCAGTATGTATTCTCTTTCAGTATGTGCTTATATTCATATGTAGTTTCCAAATATTTTCATCCCATAGTCCAGCGAAGTATGGGCCGCGAGAGGTCATTTACAATAAATAAATACAATGTTTTTAATTTTCAATCTTGAAAAGTTTGAAATTAATAGCAAAATATTTATGATGTGAACTATTGTGAAACAATAATTGATGAAGCACAAACAATTTAAACGAACAGATTAATAAAACGGCTCTCGCTCGAAGCGGCTGCTCTTGTCCGCCTGTCGTTATTCAACAAAAGGCGCCACCAAACAGGGGCGCCCTCTTGTAGTATTAAAGTATATATACTAGATTTTCAGGGCGTGTCGGAGAAACAAAGCTGTCGTTCTCGCCGAGCACTTGAGTTTAAAGAGTGAGAGACGGTGCCCTTTTCTTTACAGTAGCTGAACCATCTTAATGGGGAAAATAAGTTATTCTAAAAGGAGGCCTTGGCAGGCGGCGTGGCTGGAGAGCAGCCGAAGATTTAAGTCGTGGATGGCGAGAAGGGCGGCGGGAGCGGACGCACCTCGCAGCATCGATCGGACCCTGAAAGCACCGTCTCCACCTCCCCACACCCCCCCCAACCACCCGCCCCGACGCCAAACGTTTGACTGCAGTATCTGATGCGCCTTATAATCCGATGCGCCCTATATATGAAAAATGTTCTAAAATAGGTCATACATTGAAGGTGCGCCTTATTGTGCGGAAAACACGGCACATGAGCTCCGGAGAAAATTGTATACAAAACATACATTGTCGGTTAGTACATTTTTAGTCGGTTAAATTCTTAAGGTCATTTAATCATCCCTAGTTTATGTTTTGGTCAGAGTTGTGATTAAAGGTTTGGGTGGGCCGCAAAAGATTTTCATATTTCAAATTGGGTATTCTTGAGTTTGGGAGCCGCTGCCATAGTCTATCTCACTTATCCTTAATTTCTTAATCAATTTAGGTAATTAAGTACCAGAATCTCTCCTTGTGGTATCTCATTTGTATAAAACAATGCACCATCCATGCTATGCAGAACCAAAATAACCGCATTGGACACAACATGTTTTTCCTTCAGCAAACTACCAGCATGTTGAAGTGCTGCTTAAAGTCGTCTTTGCTCGCACAAACAAAAGGTTGTAAATGTTCTTGCATGTGACTCACCTCTGTCCGCTTAAGAAAGGCCTCCAACCGCCAAGAGGGTTTTGAGCTGTGGATTGCTGTGGGAGGATAAAGGTTTCGTAAGGATTGTTTGACAAAACACAAAATCAACATCGTTTCCACAAAATGAAAAGGTTAAAGCACTGACCGTTCTTTGAGTTGATTGAATGACACATAGCTCTGTACATCATTTGATTGGCTGGGCACCAGCTCGTTTTGATCGTTTATGCCGGAGAAGGCATATATCAGATGCGTACACAGGTTAGGATCAATATCGGAAACCGTGAACATCCCATTCCCCGCTCTGTTTGCCGCCACATTGTTATAGTAACACACCAGCCGGGTGGAGGAGGCTGAGACGTGGGAGAAAAAGATGATGGTTTTATTTAGTCATTATTTATCTTCTAATAGGTCTGCTGATTGTGATTAATGCATGTTACATACTTACCAAAGCTGGCGATGATCAAACAGAGACCTTCAAAATGAAAGATTGGTTAGTATTTGGTTAAAAGTCATGCTGAACAGATCAGTTAACCCAAATTACAATTTAAAAAGGTGAAAGGAATTCTGTTTAATGTGTAAAGAAGGCAGAAACAGTATACGTAATAATCTGGATAATCAGGTATACTGTTTCTGAGTAATCGGCATGCTGTTTTTGGAAAGTTGCAGATACAACAAACCAAATTCCATTCATTCTCACTGTAGTTTGAGGGACAGAAAACATTGGTAAAGAAAACAAAATACCGCTGGAGTTAGGTGAGATAATGTGTTTTTATTATTTGGAGGAAGTAAATCCTGATGGAAACAATAATTAGAAAAGTGTGCCTTACCTGCGATAAGAGTGATCTTGCACATGTTGACGCTATGCAGATAAGCAGAAGACAAAGACAAAAATGTTAATTATGGGGATAGCGCTTATAAGGCCGTACCGACGCACCAGGAAGAAGAACAACGCCCGTCCCCTGATTGACCCCCCAGGTTGACCTTTTAGCTCCCATGGTGAGTCAATCCGTCAAAGCCATGCTCTGAATTTGGAACTTAGTAACTTTACTTGTTGCATGTCAAATATTTAATTAATTCGTGATCATTATCCAAAACATTTCACTTCATCAACTAAAGTTCTCTCTTTTCTGTAATCTAATGATTTGTATACAACATTAAGTTGCTTAATCATGAACAATTGTGTCACAGGGCAAGCTTTGAGTTCACGTTTTGAAACAAGTTACTTATATTTATAACCTCACTTTAATTTACAATCAGCTGTCTAGCAGTCACCGCGGTGAAATTTGCATTTTTCCGGCACAGTTAACATTTCCTAACAAACAATAGCAAAGCTAAAAATACCAGTATACAAAATGCTACCTCGAATGTTTGTACGTTAAAGACACATCAAATTATGTACATTTTTAAATTCAACCTGACACTTCAACGAGGCCGGACAACATTGACTTGAATGCCATCTGGCACAATTTAAAATTGGCGTGCCGCAGAAATAAAAATGTGACTTGTTGAATCCAAAGTTTAAAAGATACTTACAAATATAATGGTGAAGAAAACATACCGTCGCTCAACTGAAAAGAAACTGACGGGTGTCTTGTTGTGCTTTTGTAAGGGAATGAGCTGACGCGGGGTGTGGCGGTAAGTGGGTCAACCACCACGCCCTGTCAGTTTGCTAATTACAGCAATGTTCCGATGTGCGGATAATTATACACTAATGGAATGTAACACAATAAAACAATGTCACCTCATGCCAAGCCCTTTACACCATGTCCAAACTTTTGTTTTCTTAGGAGGACCTTCCTCTTTAATAGGCGTACTGACAGATCATAATTATAAATGCGCAACTGAAATGATTCAGTCATTCAAAACTTCTTCACTCTCTAAAGAACAACCAAAAGACGGAAGCAAGCCACTCTTTTCATTATCTTACATTGGCAGCTGTCAGTTGCTTGTAGAAACAAATCCAGATCTATTTGCGACCACAGAAATAGGAAAAATATCATAAATCAGACACTTCTTAGGTAGGTAATAGGTTTCACAGAGCATATACACTCAATATTGTTGTAGTGGATTCAGGAGTTAACTAGGACGTGTCTTCTTTAAATGTTGACTTTAAAGTTTTGAGACCGTTAAATGTTGAGACCTGAAAAATTGATAACTCTAGTAACATTTAAAAGAAATCTTTAAGAGTATTAACCCAGATAAGAAGTCATGTTGTGATCCACACAAGAAACAAGAAGTTTGGGCTGGTGATGTATCGAAGAAAGGTGTTGGATCAAGGGGAAAATATTGCTCAGCATGTCTTAATGTCTGCTTTAACAAAGCTGATTTGAATGGGAAAGTCAAAAGTCAAACCAAAGCATCTGCTTTGGAAATATTCCTTTTTTCCCATGAGCCATTAGATGTTCACCTTACTTCAGATAACACAACACAGAACCAACACTTTAAGTAAAACCAGCATCAACATTCAGCTATTGAATGTTAAACTTATAGGTTTTAAGTGTGTAAGACGTTATTAACATTGTGTCTGCAGGTTAAGATATTAATGACAATGTGGTTTGTTAAAATTGGAATAAAAGAGATACTTACAAATATGTTCAAGAAAGAAGCATTTACTGTCCGTCTGCGGTGACGGACCACGAGTAGGTGACAGGCTATTTAAGGTGGACAGCAGAAAAGGGTTTAGCAATTATTCAGGGTGGGAATAATTACAGCAGTTTTCCATTGTCCTAAGCAATTGCAAACAGGTGGAACATAAAACAACAGTCACATAATGACCGGCCCTTAACAAGATGTTCCAATTTCTATTTTTAATTTCTATGTCTATTATAAAGGTTCTTTCTTTCAAACGGGGGAATGCGTATGCTGGTGTACCTGCCTACTTCTACATATACGCAGTACTACCCAATTCATGTGAACACACCATGAAACTAAGTATTCTAAAAAAAAAAAAAAAAAGATTTAACTTACTGAATGAATACCAATAGAAACAGCGATTCAAATGTAAATAAGCAAAAATCTTGAATGATTGAAATAACTAACTAGTAATATCAGATGAAGCTCTTTCAGGTACCTGAAAGTTACTCATGTAAAGGATATATAATTATTTTCTTAAATTGAGGCCAGATGTCTAAAGCATCAAATTTAAAAATAGGTTCTCGACTAGGTGCTTATGTTTAATGTGAGCTTAAAAAAACAATGCATATAGGCCCTCACTGAGCATAGTGATAGAAATCAAGATTTTTTCACATGACTCAACATTATTTGAGTATTATTACACTGTAAATCAATGACTCTGATTTCAAGAAACGTTTGACATTTGCTCATCATACCACAGTTTAAATAGCTTTTCCACAAGTGCCAGAAAGGCAGCTTGTTTTCCCTGTTTATATCACCTGCTACATAAAGAACAACTGAGAACAACCAAACCAAAAAAAATGAAACAAAAGAAATGTGCCAAATATGTTTTTAATAAGCTTCTATTATTGACTGATGAATTCTATGCTATTTCTTTGCATTTATTAACCAGTAGACACATATTATATATAATGGATGTATGTAATATACAACATGTGTGGCAATATTTCATAAAAATTTAAATCATGTGATAAATAAATACATTATGATAAATAAAAAAAGTTCAAAATCAAGACTTTTTTTAATCGCAGAGTGGCATTTTGCTGCATGAGCAATGGAAACAATACAATTTACACACATTCAAACATATACTGTATAACCATAAGGACAGTAATTGTTAGAGATTTTCATACAGCAGTTGGATAGCAGAAGGTATTAAAGATAATTTATAACCTATAACCTAACCTTCTAATGGTTTTCTGCAGCAAGAAGAACTTGTTAACGTTAAAGCCTAGTTTATGCTTCTGCGTTTTCAGAGCGCTTTTCACACCTCCTTGCGTCCTTGCGTGTGTCGAGCCATTTTTATAGGCTTGCGTCGCTTTCGACAAGCCGTCATTGGCGGGTTGTAGAAGCAGGTTGGATTCACGGAGGGAGATCGACGCAAACGCCGGTTTGCCGGTCGAGAGGTGCACAAAGTTGTGGAGTAAAATACGGGACAAATGTGTCCGCGACGAAGCAGCAGTGTCGATGCACGGGGCAATAAAGTCTATGATAAATAAATAAACAAATAAATAAATAGACGTGACTCTCTAGGTCGTCTTCAACAAAACACATCACTCCGCCTGTTGTTCTGGAGGTGAATTGCTCTGCAACACACGCAAGACTTTTAGAACCATGAAGTGAACGACGCAGACGCAAACGCAGAAGCATGCGCCGGCCTTAAGTGCTGCGTTTGGATACTGTCAAATATAATAGATCATCTTTTCTTAGACCGTTTACTGGAGAGTTTGGAGAGATACTTCTGTTGAGTGCCAATGATTTTGCTCCTTCCTGTCATCCCTCTTGAGTTCTTTCTCCTCTAGGCTTAGGAACACATACGATTAAATGAAGGCAAACATGAAAATTGGGGAAAAGTCAACCACGAACTTGATTAGCTTCCCACAACGAAATAGACGAAGCTGGCTTTTGAGTCAACTGGTTTTCAAATATGAAAATACTTTGACTCCATTAGTTATAGTGTCTGCATGAGTTGGGTACTAACGTCATTGTCCCAATCAATACGAGAACACACCCTATTGTTTCCAACTCTATTGTATAGAATTAGAAACACCCTATTGCAACACCTATAATTACACAGACACAGCACGTATTTTCAAGGCATGTCAAATTGAATGATGGGAGTGCCATGAACAAGAACTGATACTCCCAATTGTTTTAGATTAACCTACCTTATAATACAGAGAACAGGTTTTTCATTGTATCCAGAGTATTAATAAAATAATATGACTAATACTGTTTAGTGACAGACATTGCCACATTTAACATGTACACTGAAGTTGATAAAAGTATATATTATATACTGGCTAGAAAAAGGGTGAAAGGAAACGTATGTATTTAGTTACTTCTGGAAGTAAACCGGAAGTTGACCACAGATACGAAAAGGCCGATAGCTGCAGTCGCATCAGAGATAGGGAGACGGTAGCTCAAGATGTAGAGATTTTTGCACTGGACGTAAACCAAACAGAGGCGCGACATACAACGGAGAACTGTAAAGAGGAATTCCTCCACGTGTCAAACAGAAGGGGGGTGAGCCTTCTGAAGCACTTAAAGCACTCCTATGCTAAGCTAGGTTGAGGAATTGCTAGTTCGACATGTTCCACCCGGTGGAATTCTGCCCTCGAGATGATCAAATGTATGTAGTTATGTGTTGAAAATAACATTAACAATTAAACCACAATGTCTAAAATACGCTTTTTCTAAAGTGATTACTCATTCAGGTGACAGCCACTCATTTCAGTCTTTTGTCACGCATTCTCCCCCGACAAAGAGAGAGAGAGAGCTCTGATTCCTTTTAAGATTTAGTCTTTAGAACTAGTGGTTGACGTGGCGCAGGGGTAGAGAGGGTACCGCAAGGTTGGTGGTTCAAGTCCCGGCTACCTTATGTCCCATGTCGAAGTGTCCCTGAGCAAGACACCTAACCCCTAATTGCTCCCCAGGCAAAAAGATGTAAAATGCCATGGGTAAAAAATGCAATGTAAGTCGCTTTGGATAAAAGCGTCAGCTAATTGACCTGTGATGTAATGTAGAAGAAAAACAACATTGTAACAACAACATTCATTAATTGCCATTAATAGAGAAGATTGCATTTCGAAATATGCAGTTAACTAGTTAACTTTTTTAAAATCTAATGACAGTAGTTTTCACCTGTGTAAAATTAGTAAAGATGAGTTTACTGTTGACGGTTTTCTCATGACAATAGGTTCTTCTACACAAGCACGTGCACAGATAAACCCGTACTGGTGCTCAAGCACCTGCCCTTTTGCCCTGGATGAGAAAAGTGCCCCTTCTGCTACAGCCCAACTTTTTCTTCGTTCCTCAATATGTAAGAATAAAAATGACTCTTTCTCTCATCAATTCCCACCAAATGTGTTTTAATATCTGTCCGACATTTATTTGAGTTCTTGTGAGAACGTCGCCCCGACATGCTGCGCGGCGCTCACAAGCCCCGCCCCTCCCTCCTCCTCCTCCTCGTGCCCGTGCAGTGCTGAGCGCCAAACGGCTGCAGACATCAGACAAACAGGTGACGACGGTGTGCAAATCGCTGACGTTGTTTAGGGATAAATTAACCACGTCATTAGCGTCGCTGAAAACATTACGTCGCAACTGGTTCGACGTTTCCTAAAAAATAAACAAACTACAAACTCACGAAATCCGGGATTTCAAAGCCTTGTCCAGCTGTTTACTGACGTTTGTCATGTTCAATGAAGAGAGAGAGGGAGAGAGATACAGACAGGCAGACAGACAGAAATTCCAGGGTCCATCAACGTCCACAGCACAGCTTGAAATTGTGAGATTTTCAGCCAATACCATGTTAAATCTGTATGTGGAACTGTAGGAATTGAATGTCGTCCATATGTTTCCTAGTTACCAGTAAAGGAGATGTACAGGGTGCACCTGATAAAAACAAGAAATGGTGTACCTGAATCGGCAAATCAAAAAGCCGACCTTAATTCTATTACTGGAACGCCAGTTGAGGTGGGTGC